GCCTCAGACTCACAGCAATCCTCTTGCCTCAGCCTCCTAAATGCTGGGATTACAGGTGTGCGCCACCACACCTGGCCTAGATCCCTTCCCTTCTAATGTTATCCAGGGAGTAAATTACTAAATTTCTCTTTAACTTAGTTTTGAGTGTTGAATGGTGATTCTTAAATGCTGTGTCCCTCTGAGGCTGAGTCATGTGTGTCTCTAATTAGGGTTATACTTGAAAATGACAGAAAGTGCTGCTCACTCTCTGGTTCCCTGGCTCTCTCCCTATAATGGTGTGCAGGTAGGCAAATCATATTCCCAGGTGTTTGCTTACAGACCGTCGAATTCGTAACTGAAGGGAAAACAAAGACCTGAGGACTTCCAAGACACAAATGATTGAGAAATCCAGGTTAGCTTCATGCGATCCTCAAACTGGAACCTGACTCATGCTAGGGAGTTGTACGAATGAATAGATCCACGGTCAAATGGAATTTTTACTTCCTTTTCTTTACTTTATTAGGAAGGAAACTAAAATACATAGTTGGGATTAGTGATGTCCTGAAAATCCTCATCTTAAACTTGTTCCCACCCTGAAGATCAAAACAAGAGCAGCATTCATTACTCATCCTTCCATGGCTGTTGGTTTTGAGTTTCTAATTCCCAGTTTAGAAAATTAATTTTGAAGTCCCTCTATCATCACATGACCTTGTAAGAACGATACAAAGGGTAGGTCCTTCGTGCTCACCACCCAGTGTCCCCCCTTGTGGCATCTCGCTAATGGCTGCTCAGTGTTGTAGTATGGGCTCTATGCTCAGCGCCTCGCTTGCAGCACCTGTGTACAGGGTGCTTCTGTAGCCTCCGTTTACAGATGAAGCGATGGAGGCTCAGGGAGGATCCAATATAGTGTGGTGACTTTTTGCTTTGCTCTTGAGGCTGGCTCCTGGCTTTTCTACTTGTAGCCTATGTAAATGCTGCATTGGGAAAACACGGATATCCCAGCTTCCTTTTCTGTAAAAGGCAGATGAAAACGCCTCCCTCCAAGGATTGTCTTGGGGAAAACCATAGGAAATCATGAGTGGCTCATGACTGGGGCCTGCAGTACCCCAAAGATGTGAAGCATCCTGCCTCTCTCTCTCTGTGATGGATGTCCCCAACTGCTCCCAAGAGGGAGCACAGACGTAAGGCTAAGCACCTAAAGGCCCGAGAACCCTGGCTTGTCCTATCACACAGGAGACGGGGGAGATGTCAATCTTTCGGTAACTGGAGAAGGATCTAGACACAAGGTCTTAAACATCATCTGACACTGGGATCCACATTTTCTCCCAGCCTCAGATCTGGCATCTGTTGGGGACTGGCAATCCAGTCAGAAGGACAGGTCTAGGGCCACTCCCTGCCTTCTCTGATTTTGTGTTCAGTTTCCCCCGAGAGCTCTGAGAGCCCCCTCCTCTATTCTGTAGCTGCCAGCTTGCAGGACATTGTCCCCTGTCCTACAGGTCTTTACTCTCCTTACCTGCATCCTCTTCAGGTTGGGAAAGTCCCCAGGTGAGATCTGGTGCTCTCGTTCGATCCGGCCATAAATCTCGGCCAGGTTGTTCACCAGCTCCTTCTTCTTGTTGTCCTTCCCGAACACTGAGGGCATCTCCTTCTTCAGAGAGCTGATGATGTAGGCATGGACCTGAGAGATGGGACCAGACGGCAACCTTCACATCCGGACCCTGGACCAGCCCTGTTTCAGGCTCGTTCAACTCGCCTTTTCCCATCAACCCCTCCTTCCTCCTCTCCTGCTCCTGCTTCTGCAACCATTCCTCTTTCTATCCTCATGCAGTGCTGGGCTGAGGATATGGGGACAAGATCAGGGTGGCGATGGGGGTGGGAACGCTGCTGCTGTTGACACTGTGGACAGCAGACCTCTACTGAGCACTCAAGCACCAGGCACTAGGATGAGGGCCTTGACTGCCTTTGTTCCTTTCTCCCTCCAATAACCCTTTCATTTTACAGATGTGGGAAGAGACACAGAGAGACTAACAGCCTCCCAGAGGCTGGGGATCACTCAGGTGGTAAGCAGTGGCTATCTCACCCAGGGTCTGTCACCCCAGGAGGCTGAGCTAGCACGGCTGACTGCTCATGACACAATGGTTACAGGACACTCCCTCTTGGCAGGTGGCAATCCCACTGTTGGAGGCAATTGTCCCTTGTGCAGCTGAACCCCTAGATTTGTGACCCTGCTCCTGCTGCTGTCCCCTGGGGCACCCTCACCTTGGCCAGCCTGGCTCTCTTGATGAGGTCATTAAGTTTGCGGAGAGCAGCATTTCGGGGTAGGCTCTGGATGTCCCTGAACAGGTCCTGCTCCTCAGCTTCAAAGAGCTTCCGGTTATCCGGGATGAGGAGGGGATGGGACCAGAAGGAGCCGATGTAGACTCGAATCACCTCTGGAGTGTTCACGATCTTGCCCAGGGACCACATGAGGGCTCCGTACACCCGCATCAGCTGCTGCGTCTCAATCTGGTCGGCCTTGTTCAGCACCACCCGCATCTTGTCCTCGTGGTTCTTGAGGGCCTTGATGACTTCTGAAAACTCATCAGAGATGTCCAGCTTGTGGGCGTCAAAGAGCAGGATGATGCGGTCCACCCGCTCTGCGAACCACTCCAGGACTGCTGCAAAGTCATACCCTGTGGGCAGAGGGACAGTCAGTGGGATGGGCCTTTAGGGCACGGGTGTGGGGAGGAACCATAGAAATAAATCTCACATCTGAACTCAGATCCTGGCTCTTCCATATCCTTACGGACCTTGAGCACATTATTCAATGTCCCCTAGTGTTCTTTTAAATCTAAAATACGGGCGCAATATCATACCTACTAGAATGACGAGGATTACAGAGCCCAGCATTTAGTAGATGCTCGGAAATGCTAAGTGTTACTATAAACATCACTGTTTCCCTGAAGCACAGCCACCATTGAGCTCTCCTACTCTTCCTTATTTAATTTAGCAACCAGGAGGCCTGCTGGAAAAGAAATGCTGGGTACTTAATTTGAATAAAGACTCAGAAATGTTTTAGAAGCTCCCAACACAACAAAACAGTAAGTGCAAGCTACTGATGATGATTCCGACCATGCCCATCACTGGGCTGGAAGAAATCTGAGCTCTTATTATGAACACACTGACTTGACCTCACTTCTTTCCTCACTATCGCTGCAACCCAGAACTCCCAACTCTTAAATGCATGACAGGTCTCTTCCTTAGGATGATACTGGACCTCCGGTGGCCGCAACTTCATTGTGCATTGCTGATTGATCAAATCCAGGAGCCCCAGAGCACTTGCTGTGCTCAACCCCAAGGTGCTGTGCAACTAGGAGAGGTTGGAGGGGGAGGCTGTCCCAGTAATCTGCACATTTACCACACTTGAACTAGAAGAGCCCTTGTCTCTCTGTATTCAGTATCCTCTTCCATAAAACAGGGGCACGATACATGAGGAGGAGGCTCAGAGAGGTTGAGTGACTTGCTCAAAGGTTCACAGCCCATGATGGGAATGGAGATGTCAGGCTTCCCCAGACTGAGTCTGAGTAGGCTCTCTCTCTGCCAGTCCCCGTGGCACACCTCTGGCACAAGGCTTTCTTTGGGTGCGGTGCAACCAACCCTGCTTCCCATGATCAGCACATGGGTTACACAGGGGTACACTCTGGGGACCCAAAACTCACTGCCACTGTTGAGTGGAAAGCCAGTCTCTTAGGGGGAAACCATTAGCTCCTGCCCTGCTCACAGAGAGAGGCCAGAGACCAGACCAAGTCATACATGACTGCCTGGCAACTATGCCAGACTGAGGAAGCTATGTCAGCAGTGGGGGTCCTCAGCTGCTGCCTCGTAAGTATCCCCTGTAGAGCTTGTTAAACCCCAGGTGGCTGGAGCCACCCCCCACATCTCTGATCCAGTAGGTCTGGGACAGGCAATTCTAACAAGCCCTAGGAGAGGCTACTGCTGATGCTGGTCCAAAGACCATATTGAGAACCACTGTCTCACAATTATACCAAATTAACACCAGTGCAGCATCCACTAGGTACCCAGCGCTATTCTAAGTACTTTTAATGACACGAGGTAGAAACTAATATCAGCCCCATTTGTCAGAGACGGGAGAGGCACAGTAAATTGTCTGAGATTACTGCTGGTAAGGGGTGGAGCTGGGATTCAATCCAGGCAGGTGGCTCCAGAATCAGTGCACCAGCCTCTACGCTGACCTGGCTTTTGAAGGCTGGTGCCATTTCAGCCATGGGCTTAGATGGGGCAGGGGATGAGGACAGATGGGGCGGGCCAGGAAGTCTGGGTTTCAGAGGCTCCCCCACTGCTCAGCATCTTCTAGACAGCCAAGGAGATATTTAGGGTGTGTTAAAGCATTAGCTCTTGCGGAGGGTGTGGCCTTGGTGCAGGCAGGGTGACCTGCTGTCCACAGCTGCCTGGAGGAGCCCTTTCGTGCTTTCCAGGGCTATAGGAGACCCTAACCAACACAGGAATACAAGCCCCTCCTACATCCGCTCTCTGGACTCAGTGAAGAGCTTCCAAGCACTGTCCCCAGATGACTTTCTGTTGGTTGCCAGTTAACACAGGGTTCCCTCTCCCTGTTCCCAAAGGGCACACCCACAGGCTGGAGGCACTGAGAGGGCAATGGTCCAACTCCCTGACCTAAGCAAAGGAGAACTGAGGCTCAGAGATGGGCAGAGCGTGCCCAGCAGCATCCAAGTATCCTCCACTTCCCCCAGGAAGGCTCCTGCATGGCAGGAACTGAGTTCTGGCATAAACCCGACTCTGCCTTCTCATTCAAGGGCTGGGCCCCAACAAAGTGCTGCAGAGGATTATGGGTCCCACCTCAGATACAGTCACACAGGCTCTGCGGCGTTCAGTGACTCAGCTAAGACCACCCTTCCTGTGGGAAGCAGCCCGCATGCTCCAACTCCAAGTTCAGTGCCAGCTCCAGCAGGCAGGTTCCCACTGTGACCTCATCCCACCCTCCCCACACCCTCTGAGGCTGGCAGCATGAGGAGCCGCACTCTCACTTCCAGAGGAGCGAGCCGGGGTTTGCAGAGCGGTGGCCGGGAGTGGCCCCACCACATGCAGCCCAGGGAGGCAGTCTCCCCACACCCCTCACTCCTAACTGCCCTCCTCCCTCTCCGCAGCCCCATCCTGGGCTTCCGCAGAGCCCAGGAGGCTGTGCACTGCCCCCAGGTGGGCCGAAGCGTGCTCTGGTTTCCGCCCTTCTCTAGTCCATGGCTCAGCCTATTTTTATCTTCCCTTCTGCCACCAGCTGGCAGTGCTGCCCACCTCTTGAAGGCAGGCCCTCAGGGGCCTGGCTGGGCGGAGGGTCAGAGGGCTCGGGAAATCAAGGCGACCTGATCCTCCCGCCCCAACCCCCACCCCTAAAAACGGTCCTGGTTTCCCTGCTCTGTTCCTTGGAACAGCAAGCTTTGCCCTTTAGAGCAGGCAGGAAGGGCAGCGGGCCCCACTGGGCACAGCACTCTGTGCTCCTTCCTGCCTGTCCAGCAACTTCAGCCCTCAGCGCTGGTGTGCACCCCGGCTCAGTTGCGCATTCTGGCTACGGCAGCCAGGCTGGCCCTTCTGACAAGAAAACAGGTTTACACAGGGTAAGAGGCCCACAGCCACGTGGCACCAAGGGTCAGAGCCGGACTCAAGGTCCAAGCCCAAGCCCAGCACTGGGGCCACCCCTTCCCTGGACTCGGGACAGCAGAGGAGCTGCAGAAAAAGGAGGCCCTGCCTTTCCACTTGGTTCCAGCCCGACGGCACTGTAAGAAGGGAGGAGGCTATGTCTGCAGGGGACGAGGATCCCTCAACCTGACCACCTCTGCTCTGGCAAGGGAGGCGAGAGCAGTAGCTCGTCTGGTTGCCAGAATGGACAGCCCCAGCATGCACCTGTCCCTGCGGGCGAGCTCAGTCCCCTCGGTGGTATCTGGGCACACATGCATGTGCCTGTCCTCTGCTCACCACAGGGATCCTCCCTGCTGCCCAGGAGCTGGGCTGGGCAGGGCTGGGCAGCCTCACCCTTCTCTGCTTCCCCTGCACCCAGTGTGAGCCTGGCACACGGCAGGGGCTCCAGTAGTATTTGCTGAACAGAACAGAAATAGGAGCCTTGCTCCGCTGTTTATACCCAGGAAACAGCGAGCAAGTCATCTCCGGGTCGTGGTTTTCCGGGCTCTAATTTAGCAGCCACTAGCGTCAGTCATACTGTTGTGTTGAGGCTCAAATCAGAGGATGCAGGTAAAGCTGTAGTTATGACCTTGGCCATCCTTATTCCCCTCCCTCCTTTCTAAAGAGCTCTTGCTATGCACCAGTTGCCACAGATGAGATGTATTCTAATGGAGCCCCCACAAAAGCACTGGCGTGGCCACCGGCCTGGCCCTCTAGTGTCTGCTCCTCTACTAACTTGCTGTGTGTTATTGGCCAAGCACTGTCCTCTCTCTGAACCCTTGATCTCTTTGCTTGTCAAACTAGGGCACTGACATGGATGATCCCCGGGCTTCCTTTCTTGGTTCGCAATTCCCTGCAGGGTGAGGACTGGGCAGAGTGGGATGAATGAAGATTAGACACAGGGGTGCCTTTGCAGGCACTGTGAGTGAGGAAAGAAGGCTGGAGCCTGTGGCCTTAGGTGACTTGGGCATGCCTGTGTGACGTCTGCTCCTATCTGAGACAGGCAGGCAGGTTCCGGAACTCTTCCTAGGATTTCAGAAGCACCGAAGCCTCCTATTCATTCTCCGACTTTTGCAAATGCAAGTCCTGGCAAGCTGCTGTTGAATGACAAACAGTAATGCCAGGAGCTTGCTCCCGGTGTGGCTGTGAAGATGAGAACAAAGTAATGATTCCGTGGGTTCCTTGGAAGCTCACCCTCCCTGCTCCTGCCTAAATCTGGAGCCCACAGAACCTGTAGGATGGACATTTAATTGTTTCCATGGCCTGGACTTGTGTGCGTGTCCAGGAACGGAGGTGTCTGAAAGGCACAGAATGGTCCATGGAAGGAAAAAGACTAATCATCTATTTATGTTGAGTGACTTGGACAAGTCTGAATTTTAGTTTTCTCAGCTGTAAAATGGAAATAATAATGACTGCTTGCATGAGGGGTCCATGGTGGCGCCATGGAAACAAGATCCATGTTAACAAGCCATGGAAACAAAGTGGAGGAAGGTGTGGCTTCAGTCTGGAGACTACCCTAATGCCCAGGGTGAATGGCATGCCTGGTGACAGGCCCCCTCCCCATCCTTGGTCCCAGGAATAGTGCTATTGAGCATCCACAGAAGCCCAAGGTCTGTAAAACTGGGAGACTGAGAGCAAAAGCTTTCTTCCACCCCGCGACATCTCCCTGCCAACTCTGCAGGCTCTGGGGGATCTGGTGGCCAGGCTCCAGGCCAGAGATTGAGCTGCTTGCACAGATCTGTGACTCCCCACCCTGAGCTCCCAGAGACTAGAAAGAAATGATTTCCAAGGAGTACCAGGCAGGAGGAAATCAGTGAGACAAACTCAATAAGCAAGGCCACTCCTTAACCACCCAATGGCTTCCTTGAAGTCTAAAATGCAGAACAGAACAGCACTGGTTTTTGCGCTTTCATCTGCACAACTGACCTCCTCTTGCTCCACAAGCCAGGAGGTGGACAGAGCATATACTTCTCCAGGAGAGGAAAGAGGGATGCAGAGAGAGGGTAGCAGCTCTCCTGGGCTCACGCAGCCAGTCAGGGGCAAACTCAAGCCTAGACCCACACCCACATTCTCTTAGCTTATAGTCCTGTGTGAGTCTGGAGTGCAGAGAACTGAACCCTCAAATCAGGCACTTACATACAGGGAGCAGGTAACAAGTCCTATCTCTCCCCCCAAATCGCTAAAATTTAGACATATTAGCAAAAGAGAAATAAAAAGGCATCCCTTTCCACAATGTGGGATGGACTAGTTGACAATGGGGAACAAATGTTGCTGTGGTTACCTCCTGGAAGCGGCCTCCTGAGCGGCCAGAGCAGCGTCCTCACAGGCCTCCAGGTGACCGCAAAGCTGCGGGTAAAGCCTTCTGCAGGCCACCGGGGCTCGGCTGCTCTGCCCGGGCCTGTGAGTGCCCACACAGGCATGTGTTTACCAGCATGCTAAGTGCTGGCCTGGCTCCAGGGAGGGTGTCAGGGATGGGCCAGGAGTACGAGGCTGTGAGGATCCATACAAACACCCCCAGCCTGAGCCCCAGGGGCCCCAGGGGAAACTTGCACATGAGAAATTTGCCTTCTTTCCTACCCACTATGCTTTTCCCAGGCAGATAACGACAATATGCTGAAATTCCACTGGGAATTGGGAGGTTAGAGTTTCTTCTCCAGATGTGTGAGACCTGGGCCTGCTGAGTGCACCTGCACAGGAAGGCTCCACTGGTAGGAGTAGCCAGCTGTGCACGAAGCGCAGGAGAGGCTCTTCCAGTGGGGATTGCTAGCTGGGAAGCAGCCTGGAAACGTGAAGACACGTGGCTTTCCGGAGTCTTCCCATTTCTCCTGCATCCTCAAGTCTTCCCAGTAATGAGCCCAGCCAGGCACATCCTGCCACTTCCAGGAATTGCCCTACTGACGGCCCCTCCTGGCCACCCAGTCTCCATCCAGAGACCACTACAGGCCTGGGACCTCAGTCTGGCTTCCACCACGGCAAAGGGACACAGCCTGAGCAGGGACCACATTTGCTGGGCTGTAGCCTGGGGCTCCCGTGCTCCTGCCCATGGAGTCTGAAGCCATAGGGCCCCTTGGGAACAGCTCATTTTCCAGAACAGTCAATCCAGTGTGGCTCCTCTATGCCCCCGGGTTGACCTGAGACTGATGTTCCCTTGACTGTGAAACACAGCTCTGAGCCAGGCCTGAGCACAGTTGAGTGGGATGTGGGCTGAATTTCAGGCTCCATGTTCCCCTTGGCCAGGTACCCCCTGTGCAGGGCATGGTCTGCAGGACTGTCCCGAGAGACCCTGGCCTGCCCTGGGCTGGTCAGAGGAGGAGGAGAAGGGCCACGTCTGCTCTGTCGTCTTCCCCAGCTGCCTGGGAGGCCCAGGCAAGAAGCCACAACAAGGCCAGTTTAGTTCAGTCACAGGACTGTGTGCATGGTGTGGGCGTAGGGAGCGGTGCGTGCATGTGTGGACAGTGTGGATGTGAGTGGGTTTAAACAGGACTCCAGGGCTCTGTGGCTGATTGGGAGGAGGGCTGGGAGGGGCTCTGCACGCTGGAGGTGTTCGGCATTCAGGGTGCCCTTGATAACGAAGGGTGTCTGATACCTTCCCCACCCGTCCTCAGGGTGCTGAGGTCAGCATGAGCCCAGGCTGGCAACCCATGCTGGCAGCTCAGCCTGCAGCTCTTGCTTTCATCGTAGACTTCTTTTGCCAGCAGCTGCATTTGCAGTCTGGACTCAGGGGAGCAGAGAGCACACTGTCCTGCACAGCCATTCACAGTGCCATCACTTTTCCAGAGCTGAGCCTGTCTGGTGCTTAGCGTGGGGTGGCATAAGAGGGGAGGAAGTACAGGCAAGAATACCAGTACCCAACTACTTGTGTGAGGAAGCCACTGAGGTCCAAAGATAAACATAGGAGAGAAGATACAGGAGGGTGAAAATAATGGAATGGGATAGGATCCAAGGAAGGAAGGTAGGAATCCCTGGGAACAGGGCTGCCACAGACAGCACACAGGCTATACACTGCACAACACAAGGACATTGTTCACATAGATGACCTTGGGGTTATATAATGGGATGCCCCAGAGGGCAGTCAAGGAGGGAAGACAGGAGCTCACTGTGATCCAGACCTGGAGTGGAGTCTGTGTATTCATATGGCCTTTAGACCTCACCAGGAGGCCGTGAGGATCAGGGGAAATGTCGCCTTTTGAGATCCATAGTTTTAAAGCCCAGAACTTGGACTCTTAGTATGCTTGGAAGCTCCCAAAGCTTCCCTTTGGGCTGCGCTGGTCTTGAGGTACCTGTTCCCCAGCTGTACCTGGCTGAAGAGACACTGGTCCTCCCCTCTTTCCTAAGGAGACAGGGAGAGCCTCTTTTGGCCTTAACCCAGAATAAGCCATAAAAGCCACTTGGGGTGGGTGGGACCGGGTAAGAGGGAGGACAGAGGACCATCCAGGCTGCCCCTCTGCGGTCTTAGGGCAGGGAGCCAGGTGCTCGAGGACAGCAGGCAAAAAGGTATGGGTGAGACACCCTGTCCTCGGGGCCAGGGTCTACAACTTCAGCCACCCCCTCACCTCCATCACATGGCCATACTTAGCAGGCTAGGGGACCAGGCTACCAGGCCCCTGCGGAGACGACATGCCGACACCCCCGGGCTCACAGGCCACCGACCGCATGGATCATTAACACTGTGTCCCAAGACCCCTCCTGACTCAGCAGCTTCCTCCCAACTGTGGGTGTCAGGTATAGGGGGACTTCCTGCTCAGGATTCTATACCATCCCCCTAGATAAGGACTCCAGGATGAACATTCCCTGAAGGGCGGCCTGAGGTTAACCCGGCCTTTGCACAGGCTGCTGCCCAGCACGCTGCTCCAGTTACTTTCCCTCTACTCCTCACACCCTGGCTGTGGCGCACCTGACAGCCAGTTCCCAGACCTGTGGCCCCACACCTGCTCTGACTGCATTCTCCAGCAAGAAAGTCAGGGCTGCCCTTGGGCTTCTGGACAGAGGCCAGTTCTGGCACCAGAGGCCCGGACCCCTGGGCCTCATGGTGCACAGCCCCAGGAGCACTTGCAGGTCGCCCTACCTATGACTTTGCCCTCAGGAAGGTAGGGGTAAGCAGTGCTGGCCTGGGCAGGCTGTGTCCTTGAAGGGAGAGATTTCTGGGCGCCCACCGCAGTGGCATAGTCACAGGCAGGACAGCGCTCCGGAGCCCTCAGCACAGAGGGCTGAGGCACATGCCGCAGAGGCAGATGTCACCGAGGTCCGTTCAAGAGAGGCCCTCGATGGCTTCCTAAGGAAAGCCGCCCGTCCAAGTCTGTCCCTTCCTGGAGGAAGGGTGACTTCCGAATGCTGAGTTGGCTCTAGGCCCAGCTCTCATTTACAGTACTGGGGTGGGAGCAGCACATCTGATTTCCTTGCCAGAGATATAACGTGTGACACAGTAAGGGTGAGGGCCAACCCCAGGACACACAGCGAATGTGAGCGGAGAGGATGAGGGTGGGAAGCCAGGGTTTTAGCTCTCTACAGCATCAGCCCATGCCTTAGAGACCGATGTCTTACATCTCATGCTTACTGGATGCTTGCTACATGGGAGGCATTTTAAATTATATTATTTCTTTTGATCCTTAAATAACCTTACAAGATGGATTTCCACTGAGGCAAAGAAAGAAACCAGAGTCACTCTGCTAGGAAAGGACAGAGGCAGGCATGGAAGCTCTACAGAGCTGCAACCCAGGGCAGGGAACTGAGGAACGTGCAAAGGGTTGGGTGTGCCTAGGGTTGTTTCTGCGTCCCCTATTCTATTCCATTGATCCACGTTTATGGTTTTGGGCCAGTAGCTGCTGTTTTTATCAGCATAGCTTTATAATAGAACTTCAAATCTGGGTTTGTGGCACCTCCTGCTTTGCTTTTGTTACTCAGAATTGGTTTTGCTATTCTAGGTCTCTTCTGGTTCCATATGAATTTCTGGAGTGCTTTCTCTAGATCTGTGAGAAATGCTGTTGGTATTTTGACTGGGGCTGCATTAAATCAGTTTTGAAAGTAGAGCCACAGCTTTAACTAACACATGGTTTCTCTTGTATGAGAAACCCAAGATGTAAATAAAAAGCAAAATAAAGGATAGCTAATAGGAAGTAGGGAGCTCTTTTTCCAGTGGGAAGGGGCACAAGGGATGGAAAGGGAAAGGGAAGGCAAAAAAGATTTTGAAAAGAGAGAATTGAATTAAAAAGTGGAAAGTGAGCTTTTTCAAGTGGGAAACAGATCAAGAGTTAGAGGGAACAGGCAGGAACAGGAGGGAAAGGGAACAAAAAATTAAGATATGTGATGTGCACACTCCCCACAATAAATGTGACCATTATGTACTACAAACACGTACTAATAACAACATGTAAGGGGCTGGGGATTTAGCTCAGTGGCACAGCGCCTGCCTGGCAAGCGCAAGGTCGTGAGTTCGATTCCTGGTTCCGGAAAAAACAAAAACAAATAAAAAATAAAAACATATAATTAATAAGAAGGAGGAGGAGGAGGAAGGGGAGGGGAGGCAGGGAAAGCAACTTGCAAAGGAGCCAGGCCAGCTGCTTCCTAGACAATCAGTAACTCCAGGTGAGTAAGGCAGACACTGATACCCCATTTTAAAGATGAGAGGACTGAGGCCAGCTGAGCTCAGCTGCTGGTCCCTGCCTAGGTCTGTCCCATATAAAATCGGCCCACACAGCACACAAGAACCCATCCACGAAGCGACAGAAGGCTGTGTGTGCGTCTCTTCCAAGATGACACAGGAACATACTCTGAGCCTGGAGCAAACGCACCCCAGGGCCTCGCCTACCTCGGCTGATCCTCTGCTTCTCCCCAGACAGGATCCCCGGAGTGTCGATGACACTGATGCTCTCCAGCACGGGGTTGGGCAGCTGGGCACACACGAACCTGCGCGGGCAAGAGGAAGGCCCCAGTAAGTGACGCATGCACCTTCCCCGACCCAGCTGCCCACACCTGGTCCCGTCTGACCCATGTGAGCCACAGCTACAGATCACCCACAGCAGGCCTGCTTGGTACTGGGTATCAGTGACAGCTAACCAAGGACTGAGTTCTCCTGTGTCTCCCTGCATCCCATCGCAGCGAAGAGGGCCATCTCCCTGTGTGAACGAAGCCCTGGCCTGGTTCTTGCAGCTCCAAGTCCTTAGTTGGTCTTGGGTCGGCCATATCCTGCCCTGAGGAGCTTCACTTACCTCAACTCACTCTTGGACCTTTGGCTTCTCTAGATGGCCAGAGAGAAACCTCACCCCTCTTCCCAATGGGCGCCTGGGGACAGAGGCAGGAGGAACCTCAAGATCTGCACACAGAATCAGGGTGTGAAGCCTCCTCCTGATTCGACCCTTGGTGGCAGGCACAGTACTCCCCCTCTGTGTCCTAACGTGGAATCCTACTTTGTATAAGATAGTATGTACCAGGCAGAACATCACAAGCAGGCAATGGGCTTGGGGATCTGCACTTTTGACGATGTCCCTGGGTGACCCCAGTGCAGCTACAGCTCATGCTTATGAACCTGTGCTGCTGAGGACCCTGGGATTTCTGGTTTCTCCTCCCCATGCCGTTGAACCGTCCTTTCTTAGCTCCCCATCAGAGAAGCCCTATCCACAAGCAAGGGTATAATGGGGCCAGCACTTCAAAGTCAGGGAGGGTTTGGAAGATCCAAAGCAGACCGGGGCCTCCCCAGAGGGCTTCCTGGAGCAGGCGGCACTGGGGCTTGCCTTGGAGGACAGCTCACACCGCATTGCCTTGGACAACCAAAAGGCCATCTGGCTATGGAACATGGCCCAAGGGAGCAGTCAAGCTTTATTCAAGGTGAGCAGGGGACCGCGGGCTGATGGGGACCTAAGAAAGGACTGCTCAGAGGCACGGGGAAGGGAAACCAGGAATCCCCACCACAGCACCTGGTGCAGGCTGCAGCTGAGCTGGTGGCAGGCGGGGAGGCCCTGCTCCCCGATGCCCTCTTGTGGGTGTGGCAAACCCCTCTCAGATCAATGCCATCACCCCTAGTGAGCACCGAACGTCACAGATTCACAGAGTCATCTGTCTCCTAGTCACAGGCCCCGCCCCGGGGTAGGAGTTTCATTCCTCCCTGTTTGTATTTCTTCTCTCTCGTCAGTGTTCTCTGCCTAGCATGCCCTTTTCTCACCTAACAGTGTCATTTCATCCTTCTTTTCACATCTGTGGCAAAGGCCAACTTTCCCAGGCAGGCCTCTCAGCCCTATCGGCCCTGCCCCTGTCATCGCCGGCTCCCTCCACATCTCTGTCCGCTGAGCAGGAGTCAGCGCCCCTCTGCGGTGGGGCCCAGGGTCTGCTGAGCCAGAACACAAACTCCATGCCTTAGGCAGGCCCTGGGAAGGGGACGGGGCCACCCTCCATGCAGCCGCCTTGTACACTGTCATGCAGCCGTCCCCTCCACGCCAGCACTGCGCGGGGCCCTCGGCACTCAGGGTCTGGCCTGAATTCACCTCCTCAGCTCAACACCTTACTCCCCGACATTACCCACTGAAAGAGAGCAAGTCCAGACCCTGTCACAGTGCTGCCTTATGCCCACATTATTCTTTTCGTAATACCTTCATATAAAATCTGCTTTACAAAGTATTTTACTAATATTCAAATTATATTTTTACAGTTTCAAAAAACCAATTGAGCAAGGTATATAATGATATAAAGGTCTCCTTCCCTTTCAACCAACCTTCTCCTCAATTCTGCTTTCTGCATGTACCCACTCTTACATTTTTTTTCTTTTTTCTCCCAGATAGTCTCTATGCACCATCTGCAGGAGGAGGTGAGGGCACAAAGAATCTGTAATTTGCGTTCTGTCATATTTATAGGTGAAAACAATGACATTGAAAGAGGTTAGGTATCTCGAGCTCCAAGCCACCTCCCACTCACTTCCGGGTTTCCTATGTGCGGCCACGGAGTCAGGGAGATCCGCGGGGCTTGATTAATGACATGAAGGCTTTCAGCTCGCAGGAATGCACTTGGCGTGCGACGGCAATGATATATGTTCTTGTTCTCGTGATAGACTACATGTTATTACATTCAACGCAACATACTATTACCATTATATACTATTACCCCAACATGGGGTTAACCCCTAACTCTGCGCTCATCCCCTCCAACGATCCCAAGTGCCTCTGGCATGTCCTGGGTCTTCTTTCCTTTCACCTGCAGTCCAGCTCCTCATCTCATGCTCTGCAAACTCCACATGTCCAAAATGCAATTCATCGCTCCCTGACCGTTCAACCCCTGCTGACTCAGTCTCGCCCTCAAGCTCCCCCCGGCCCCACCCACCTCCACATTTTGGCGTCCTGGCACAGGTCTTCCTCTGCACGCTGGGCTGCAACCTCCCTAGCGCCTCAGCCCCAGGTATCAGAGACCCTCCTGGAGTCCACAGCAGCCGTCTCACTGCACCTTAGCTCCACCACCCCTTCAGTCTTCTTGTAATGACTCAGGTTCCCTTCCCTATTCACCCAAGGGAACTTTGTGAGCCCACCCCAGCCAGGCCAACTCCCCGCCACCTTCCTCTCACCTCTGCTCAGGGAGCAGCCCCGCCAGCTCACAGTTCCACACTGTTCACCCTGCCCATCCCTGTCTCAGTATATCTCACTCTGTGTCACCATGTAAGAGATAGGTGAGAAATACTCATGTCTTTCTAAAAATTACTGTTCAGGATAAAAGGTGCTGAAAAATCCTTGCGTAGAGTGTCAACTTCTACAACTGCAAATATAAGAAGTGTAATGCCCACTTCCCTCACTGACTTGTGTGGAAATCAAATTAATAATGCACGATAAGACTGCTACCACAACTTAACACTTCCTGTTAGTTACTATGTGCCAGATACTAAGTGTTCTCTGTGTACTAACTCACTCATCTCTCCCTCAGCTCCCTGAAAGAAGGTATTACTGATATCCTATTTCAGAGATTAGAAAAGACAGACGCAAAGAAGGTTAGCAATTTGTTCAAGATCTACTCAAAATCTGGGTTTGAACTCAGGTCTACCTGAAGCCAAAGCCCACATTCTTTACCTTTACTCTATTTCCAATTAGAAAAAGCAGCTTTACAATTATTAAGTGTAACAGACACATACAACTGGATTTATCAATATAACAAGCATGCTTAAGGTTATCAGCCGCATTTGAGTTAAGAGATACAAATGTGAAGGCCCAGATTAGCTTGCCAAATACTGCAGGCCAGTCCTCAAGATAACCTTGGGAATCTGCCTGAACCTGCCCTAGGGGAGGGGAAGTGACCTGTCCCCCACCTCCCCGGTCACCCAGGGAGTGTAGTGGGAGAATTAGCCCACAAAACAAGTCTTCCCTCTCAAGTCACGATTCTGTCCACCAGGGCTGAGAAGAACCTTCTTATAGCCACTTCCAGTTGGATGCAAATCCCAGCCATGGCACAAGCAAGGAATGGCACAGATGGAACCCTTCTCTGCTTTTATTAGTGTGGAGGAAAATCAAGGGATGCGATGAAAGTCATGGTTGTACCCTTCCCTGCTCCTTGATTAGGAGGAATCAGCACAGTCTTTGCTGCTCACACATTCCGCTGTGCCAACTGCCTGGGTTACATTCCCAGCCAGCAGGGGACTGTAGTATGGAAAAGACAGCTAGTGTCCCAAGGCCACGCCCTTGTCCCTTCACCTCCCATACTCCCAAAAGCAGTGCAGAGAACCCTCCAAGGCATGTGTCCCCACCACACTCACCTGTTCAGAAAGGCGTTCCCAAAGGCATTGAGTTTCCTGAAGGGTTTCTTAGGATCCACAACCAAGGCATTCCCGGGGATGATCCCCTCCACGTCTCCCTGCATCACTGCTATGAAGGAGTCGGTTGTTGGCTCAGGCCCAATTCTCATGCCTGGGAAGTCCTGTTCCAGCAGATACCTGGCAGAAAGAAGCAAATGCCTACTGTGGGGAGTTGTGGGCAGATCACCAAGGCATGTCTGCAACATGGCTGGCCATACAAGAGTCATGGGAGAGGGGCAGATCTGGAGCAATGAGATTTCACAAATCCTAAGACCTTCACAGAGCAGGTGCAATTTCAGCAGGACTTCAGATCTCTGCTGTTCTTCTTGCCCCTTTGCCCCCCCTGAAGCAGAAAGGGTGAGGGAAAACAAGGTCTGGGTTCAAGACAAAAGCCTAGATTGAAACGTTTCCTGGCCGGAGTACAGCAGACTTCACAAATGAAGGAAATTTGCTGAACTTCGAAGAGGAAACGATGATGTGAATCTCCATCGTATCCTACACCTTTTGTCGCTCTCTCTAACACCTGCATTTTACATTCTGTGCCCTTCTAAAAATGCTCCCTACATGCATATCTCATATAATACATGTTTAAACATGTATATTATATATTACATATTCCAACATATATATCACACATACAACTGATTGAACTTTTAAGCAAAGAGGCCGGTCACACCTTTTTTTCTCATCACTATCCATTTAACTCAATTTTTCAAAGATGAATCTATAATCAGAATGTCTTGTGCAGTGCCTGGCACAAGGCAGACATTCAATGTTACTTCTCTCCCTTCTGTGCCTGAGTTCTAGGCTGCTTCCTTACCGATATTATAGTATATGTGGGTCTCTTGACTGAAGATTGTAATTATGCTGTTTTTTTACTTGCTTTACCCAAAGCGGCCTCAAAATCTTTTATCTACTGATGCTTTCTTTTTTTTTTTTTTTTTAAACTGATGCTTTCCTATCACACCCAGCCCTGGCACACACATACCCTGCCCCTAACAAGTACACACTTTGGAACCCCAAGGGATGCTATGCTGTGACATAGACAGAAATTTACATATTCTGTGATAATTATCTGGATAATATCAATGCACATGCTTCCTTTTCATGCTTAATATATTTAGGAGGCAGCAGGGCAGATCTACTTTATGCCCCTCAGTCACAATATAGAAGTCTATTATATGGACTATTATAAACCATTTGAGCAAAAATTTTACTGATAACTTCTGATAGTTTCCAATGCCTAGATGGAATCAAAATGGTGGGAAGATTATATATATATCTATGCACACATTTAGTTAGTTAGTTTTGTTTTCCAGATAGGGTCTCACTATGCAGTTCAGGCTGGCCTTGAACTTACTATGTAGCCAGGGTGGCCTCGAACTCACAGCAATCCTCCTGCCTCAGCCTCCCTAGTGCTCGGATTATAGACGTGCACCACCATGCTTGGCTAGGGAGTTCATATATTATCTCAACCACAAAGGTGAAGAAGAGGAAGAGTTTATTTTTATGGGATAGTTTCTAAGGTCTCCACTTCCTGCCGTTTAGTATGGGCCAGGAGAATCAGTCCCTACCATTCAATGTGAGACCTCAGGCAGGCCTCCTTCCCTCACCAGGCCTTGTCCTCCATCCCATGAGGAGCCTGGAGAGTGTAATCTCCATGGTTCCTTGTGTTCTCTGAGCCACTGTGCCCCAGATGCATTTCTGGACAGTGTCGCTGCAGCCACTCACTCCCACACTGCTCTTGCCCCTGGGTGATGGGCACTCTGGAGCAGGCAGGGGAGTGGTGAGCTGACGGCTCCTCAACTTCTGGCTGCAGCCTGAGGTGGCAGGTGCCTCTCTGCTCTGCTCCAGGTGAGGGCAGTGGGAGCCCAAGGTCACCCACCCTCTCCACAGTCACAGAGGCCCAAATCAGTGGCACAGGATGACCCAGAAAACACTCTGAGGACAAGAGAGCCCTCTGGAATTCCAGGACAGGTCTGAGCACAGGCCAGTGGAACGAGGCCAGAAGTGGCTCTGCTCTGGCCAGTCCCCAGAGCACCTCCCAAGGCCCTGATGGGTAAGAGCTACGGGACACTGCCTAAGGAACACAGATGCATGGAGTGAGCCCTTAGCGGTACTGGGAACCTTCCTTCTCCTAACAACCTCCAGGGCCCACTTTCACACCCGGAGGGAGAATCAAGGAGCTTTCAGGGGAAGAGATGTCAGGCTGGACACTGTTAAGCTGGGAAGGGAACTTGGAGGTGTACTGCTCCTTGGTCCCCAGTCCTGGCTGCACATTTGAGACCTTAACAGAGTATTAGTTGATAGTTCTGGGGCTCTAAGTCAGAAGTTCTGTCCTGTTCATCCAGAGAGGAGCCCCCAGCAATTGCTACTTTTTAGATGTTCTCCAACTGATCCAAATGTACAGCCAGGGTTGAAATCTGCTCAGAACACTGTGGAGGCACTGTCTCCTTCAAGCCTCACAGAGCCCTAGAGGTGGGTACTGAGTGAGGAAAACAGTTGACAAGGGTTATAGGCTTTCTCAGAGTTAAGCAGCCAATCATAGAGCTGGAACCCAAACCTACCGGTCCCCTAATCCTTCACTCTTCAACTGCTTTCTTTCCTGAGGATGTCACTGTCCAGAGACTGTGGCTGCCCAAAGGCCCAGAGCTGGGCAGGACAGTCGGGTGGGAAGATGCTTCTCTGGGGACTGAGCTCTCTGCTATCCTAGGCCTCCCCAGGTGGGCTAGAGCCAGACAGGTTCTCTGGGTTTCCTCTGGGTCCTTGGTATGCTACTTGCACCTTCAGGGAGGGTGCGGAGCTGCATTTTAGTCCATGGTTGACTCCCTAGCAGTTTAAACTGGTTGCTATGTGCTCCTTCCCCAGGGAACCCATGCAGGAAGCTGTTGATCTGCAGAGCCTGGAGCACACTGCCCGGGAGGCCGTGCCCCCTGCCTCAGCCACTGCTTCCGGTGGCCTTGGGAAGTCCCTCATGCCTCCAAGATCTCAGCCCAACAATCAGGGTGTGAAGGCAGGATTTCCTCTGGCCAGATGGTCACGTTGGGAGCTGGCACTGGGGCTGGGATAAGAACACAGCACAACAGTTGTACACTTGGACAGCACTTCCTGCTTCCTCGGGGTGCCTTCTCCTCTGGGTCCTCTAACTGAGGGGGATGCCTCAGGCATACCTAACCGCTGTGAACCTCCCTCTGCAGCAGGGTCCCACTTACTGTGCACCTGTGTCTTGCGGGGCACTGCTCCAAACGGTCTGTGGATTATCTCCTTAATATAAGCACTACGATCCTCCTTGTCAAAGGGGCCTGACAGAAACCCACCTGATAGTGCTCTGAGGATTAAATTAGTTTCAGAAGTTCAGCAATGAACCAGTACCTGCCACCTAGGAGAACACAAAAGTTGAACTGTTTGCCTCAGGTTATACACCCGTCAAGGCAGGGTAAGGATTTGAACCTGGCATTCAGACTGGAGAATTCACACTGCTGATTACTGCATGCACTGTCCCTTTTCCTGCCAGGACAGGGAATGCAGCCACCCCTGGGGACCATCCAGAAGGGTTGAGTCCTATGTGGAACTGGAGTGGGACAAGAAAGACCACAGAAGAATATGGCTTGGCAGGAGGCTGGCCAGGGCCAGGCAAAGCTTTGGGGTCTAAGAGCCCAGGCACGCACTCACGTGCTCAAACACACTCCCCGAGTGCACAGCTCAGCCACAATGGCTGCAGTGTGGCAGGCAAAAGCTGGTGCTATCAGGTGACCAGTGGAGGCTGGCAAGCTCTGACAGAACACTTAGAAACGGCAGTGCCTGATTCCCCATGAGAATCAGTGCTGTGATTTGAGAAAGCAAGTGCTTGGCTAGAAGTCTATGTGCAGGGGGTGTGGCAAGCGTGGACCCGGAGGGGAGGAGGAGGAGTCATCCAGGCTGCAGGGACAGCTGGAATAGAAAAGGGGAGAAAGAACCATTCTGAGGCAGCCACAAAAATGCCCAGAACGAAGAGGGCCACGCAGCAGAGGCCTGTCACATTCCTTACACAGGCATCTCACGTTGCATCCCTGTGTACTCAGCTGGTGAGCCAAACCCAGCACGTCAGGACCACTTGCTGGGAAGTCACAGAGCCACTACCTCAGAGAGGGCCCCGCTGGGCCGAGCCTGCTGGCCTGCTAGGCTCACGTGACCTGAAACTTGCTGACCACACATGGGGCTTGGGAAACAGAGTCCCCAGAGGTCACCAGCAAGTGCAGGGGCACACAGTTAGGCCAGGCCGAGAGCCGGGGTCTGGGTAAATTCTCAGGGACACTTGGGTATGGCTTATGGCACGGGGTGCCCCTCTAACAAAGCTACCACTGTGTGCAGGAAGGAAAATCTATTGAGGAATCTCCTGTCCTGCTTATTTATGGGAAGCAAGACAGACTGCCTCTGTGGCTGAGTGAAAACATTCCCACAGCAGTATAAGAAAACTTAATCCAAGCCTGGGTGGGATCAGCAGAGAGAAGGACACATGGAAAGGGACAGGACAGCTGAGCCTCCACTCTGCGGTCGGCATCGTTCCCAAAGCTTTACCTGTATCATTCCTCTTAATCAGACCTACCAGTTCCGTGGCATGGCAGCGCTATTTCAGTCTTACAGCTGAATAAATTGTGGTTACCGTTCAGAGCCACGTTAACATATTTCAAGGTCCTAAAGAGCTGAAAAAGTTTTGGTGCCTGTCCCTACCATCTAATGCAAAATAAACACTGAACCATAAAATAGGCGTGGGGAAGTCCAACGCAATTCTAATTTGTCCCATGAAGATGGCTTTTCTTCACATTTTTCTGAAATAAATTATTTCATAATATTTTCCTCATCTTTTATAGGGCTGACTTTACTAGTAACCTATGTACCTAGGGTAAGGCTTAGAGCCAAGACTCTCAGCTCAACCCACCTTCCAAGTACCTAGCTCTGCAACAGTGGGGCGCAAGACCCAGACCCAGGGCCACTGCGAGGACCAAGACCAGGGAGGGGGAAGCAGGGTTGGGGTTCATAAACAATGAGGCCGGCGGGGTCCTACTGGGGCACCTGACCCTGCCTAGTTGAAGAATATGTCCTCTTGGTAGTTACTCTAATACCAACCTAACTTTGGACAGGCAGAACAAAAGTCCAAT